TATAGGATGCATATTCTGTCTGGTAGACTATATTATTTATATATGTGCTTATTTACTTACTCAAGGGAAGATTGGATCCACAACGTAATAGGACTAAGTGCTGTAAACTAAACAATAAAAATAACATCAGTCTTTACAGCTGTTACACCAGCTTACTAATAATAGGTCATGAAAAGTATTTTGTAGCAACCCATTCCAATTGAATCCTAGTGTAGTTGGGTGGGTCCTAGAAAAGGTTACTGTCTGATGGCTCTTGGCATGGCCAATGTGAGAGAAATTAATGATTTAATTTCAGTTCCGTGGGAGCAAATATCTTCAACAGAAAATAAAATGCCAGAGCAACGTGCCATAATCGGAATTGGCAATGCCCTTCACCTTTATTAGTGACTGTCATTGTTTCTTTATTTGTAGAGTGTCCACTGAGTGCTATTATTAATATTGCTCCAAGAGCAATAGCTAAAAAAGTACAGATATGACATACAAACCTGCCAATTCCTGTGAAAACTGCAGCCTGACTTGTTAACATGCCGTTTCCTCACTGTAAACCAAGCTGTAGTGGTAAGGGCAGTGAGACTGAAAGCGTGCGGAGGGAGAGGGCTTGGTGCAGGGCATAGAAGGGATCAAGGGTGATTGAAGGGGCGAGAAACAGAGAGAAGAGGTTGTATTGGTTACAGCTGCTAAAACTCTCTCTGATGATTAAGATAAACATTAGCACCCTACTTAGCAAAAATTGCAACCGTGTGTTACAATGACCTGACTTTTGTTTGCATGGTGTGCTGAATTTGGGCTTGTATAATTCTAGATCCAAGGTTTCCGTTCGGATTTATACATATAAACTCTTCAAATCTTAAAAACAAGATTTGACTGAGATGGAAATAGAATTCACTGTGTTGATGAATCTCAACTGAAGGTTGCTGAAGGGGGGGAGCCTGAGCCGGAGCCTGAGCCCAGGCACTGAGCTGCGGTCAGGCTGTGTGTGCTGAAAAAACTTCCGTGAGTGCTGCCTCCTCCCTAGGGAGGTGAAATCCTTCTGGTTGCAGAAAACCATTGTCATTTTGTGGTAAAATCTCTAAAAGGAAAAGAAAAGGCAAAGTGTTTTCATTATACTGCAAATTACTCTATCTTTGTTTTATCACTATGTTTTAGAGACAATTTATATTCTAAAATAAATTTTAAAAGTAAATTAATCAAAGCTATACACAATAATGAGGACAAAACTATCTCAGTTCTGTCTTTGCACATTTGTGTAACATCCTATCTATCTCATGCTAGTTGAGCTATTCATATAATGTGTAAGCTACATGTAAGCTTATCTAGCTCCTGTGGACCTAGATAAAAGTCTAGGAATATAGGTTTAAATGTGGCTCTTATTTTAGTCTGCTATGCTGATGTGAGTTGTGTTTTTACCTCAGCTGAGCTTGCTGTAAGACTTTTAACCATTGGCATTTGGAAAAACCCTCTCAGAGCCCATTTGGGCATTGCAGCCATTTCCTTCCCAGTCCCAGGAACCTTCCTAAGTTCCTTCAAGCTGCCAAAAGTCTTTTATAATCGATGCACACCTTCAGTCCTTTCCTCGGTCGAGAATGGGTAGTAGGGCTCAAGTATATTTATCTGTTTGGCTTTGGCCTTCCTTTCACTCCTGCTACTGACTCTAAGCCCAGTACTGTATCTAGCTGCCACAGCTGTTGCTCTTCTGCTGCTTTCTGCTTATGCTTATGTTCCAAAAAAAGCTCCTCTGGGATGTTCTGTGAAATGAATGGGATATCAAGGCAGTGCTAACTGCATTTCCCCTTCACTGACAAGCTCTTTCTTTTACTGGATGCCCTGAATTTGTGGTAAAGTGCTAGTGTTATATGTTCTGAACTTCACTCTTTACAGGGTGAGTTCCTTTTGTTACCTCACTTTTCACAATACTGAAGTATTTCCTTTGCTGCATTAAGCTATTATTTAGAGTCTACAAATAAGCTTCTGATCCTGCCAAATTACATTTACTTTCAGTAAGTGAGGAAACTGTACATCTCTTTTTCCACTTACTCTGATATTTATGTTCAAAGAGTTTCACATCACTTGCCTCTTATAAGCACCTGAACATACATTTTCTTGGCATTGTTGCATATAGCTATGAGCGGTGAAGTCAAATATGTATAGGTAGTAGTTGATAGTAAAGTAGTAGGGTATATGCAAGTCCCACATATGATCAGACATTCTGAAAATACAGACTCACAATTCCAGTGGTACGAGGACTTGTGGTTGTCTCCTGTCTGCTTAGGATAGCAAATAAATATCGTAATGACTTTATAGTTGAAAGAGATTGCTGTGTATCTACGTCCTGTACTTCACAGTGGGTATACGCACTTCCTATAGAACAGAAACAGCAGTTAATAGAAATGTTCCAGGATTTTAAAATGTTCTTATCAACTGCACTATACTGTCATTTGATCTGTTACATTTAGGTCAATATAAGCTTATGAGACTTGAAAACAAATATTATAGTGCCAGAATCAAAATCTGAAAGGTCTTTCTAAAATCTTTGCCTGCGTAAAAAATCTCTTCTGGTTTAATCAAAAGTGTGATTTTAAACTCATGTGAACTGTACAGAGCCCTTTGTGAAGATTCTTAGTTCAATTTACAGCAGGATGATTTATTCTTTAGCTTCAGTTGCTTAAGACTTTTTTTTTTAAATGACATAGAAATAAGCTAGTTTTTAAATTGTGTAAAACTGTCCAGATAGTTGAGCTGTAGTGATCTAATTTTAAGACTGATTATTGGGTATACCAGTGCATCTTACAAATCTTGTTTGTTAAGACACTATTAATCGTGCCTACCTGTAGCAAAAGGAAAAGATGGGCAAAAGCGTTGTTCATTTTTGATAATAGCTTGTTCTCAAAATGATTGAAAAGCCTGTAGAGGAAAAGCGTGGCTTCAAATAGCACGGGTTCATAAAGAAAGAATTCCTGTAGTACCTCAGACAGACTGCAGAGGAACAGTCTCATGGCTTCTTGTTCTCCTTTATTCATTTAAATGCCGTGAACATTTAGAGACAAAGTTTAGTCAATTCCTTTAATTAATTCTTATTCTCATCTTTTGATTCAACATCTTTAGAGGCTTCAGCCAGGATTCAGTGATTCAGCTGAAAATAAATAAATAGTGAGAACGTCTAAATACTTAGATATGAAGTATTTAAAATATAGGATCCTTTATATAAAGATCCCCTAACCATTTATTTTTTAACTTAAAAAATAGCCAAAGGTTATGCTAGCCATGTGCAGCCATAGCAAAGAATGAATGGTAAGGGCCATACAGACAGAGCTATGACTTCTTCACCAAGGGCCGTGTTTTTACAAAATTTGTATCAGAAGAAGCTATGCAAAAATTAGGGGTTTTATTTTTCTACAAACAGAAGGATTAATGTGTGATGTCAACCTGTATATTGGTCTTTAAGATATTAACAGTCACAGTAATACTTAAAGCTTCTAGTCAAGATCATGGTCTTATACTTGGTCCTGTGCAATAATGTAAAGCAAAAGAAAAGAATTGTCTTTAAGGAACTTGTTTAGACTTCTTGTCCAAAGCACACAGGCTGTTTGTTTTACAGAGAGAAACTTCAGTGACATAGTGAACCCCAGAGGTTTTACCAGCTTACATCCTGGAAGTGCTACCATATTTTAATGTTTTCTATAGAATAGCTGAACTGGTCCAGATGAAGACCATATGAGAACTCCATTTAACAAATTTCAGTTTAATTTATCTCTTTCAAGGTTGCATTAATCATATTTGAGGTTTGGCTCTGCTGAGCTCCTCAGAAGAAGGTAATGCTTACTAGCTTTAAAGAGATAAAATTCAGCTTAATGGAACGTGACAGCCCATTGTACTGAATTCTGGGTTGCTTAATTCCTGATTTTAAGAAACTTTCAAGTCTCTGCAGAAACCTCTGTGAAACAAAAGTTTACCAGTATGGACCAACTCTGAGGAAAGCACACCCTTTCACTAAAGGGTGAAAGCCGAAGTCTGCATGAACACTGGATTCAAGTAGTGAAGGAATTCAATGTTATGGAAATCTGATGCTTCAGAATGCAACATCTGAATTTGTGCGCATGATTTTTTGAATTTGAATGCATTCTTCAAATGCAGCTTTAAAACATGGCTAAATTTCAAAACTCAGGCTCAAGAAAAGGGACTTTTCGGAATTCATGTAGCATTCATCTGATTGGTAAAATGAATGTAAATTAATTCTTCCTTTGTCTTTTCTGTGATTTAGTGTAGCAGTTCAAATACCAGCTGATGATTTTACTCAGCATTATAATTTAGCTTATTCTGTGGTGATGGCAATCATCTTTGCAAAGTAGAAAAAACCCCATCCATTTTCTTTGATGACTCTAATGTTGTTCAACTATTAGAAATGTCACTGATGGCTCTATCAATGACTTCTCTGTCTGGCGCTGTAGCTTTGGGAGTGTTTGGGTGGGTTACCATTTCTCCACGAGAGTCTAGCATTACTGCCCCGTCTACACATTTCCTTTTCCTTAAGCATCTCGTTCACTTCATGGAGAGGTGGAGGGGTCTCTCCATGGTGCGACCTCATGACATTGTGTAGTGCGATTAGCGAAATATCTCTGATGGAAACCGAAACGGCTCGCTGTAGTGTTAGCCATTACCTGTACATATACTATGGGGATATTCCATTTGCTGTCAACCCTACTCATTCTTTGTGGCACAGGGATGTCAGGCTGCTGCTGGAAATCTCCACTAATCTGCTGATACTAGAGATATCCAGAAGGCATTTGAGTGGGCAGGTGAGGAGTAGCAGACAAAAACATTTTATGAATTAAAAAAGTACGTTTGTCCCCAGTGTGGAATTAAGCTCAGGTTTAGCAATGGCTAGTGGTCCCCAGGGCTGGCACCTGTGGAAACAAGGACTGAGCCAGTTATTGAGTTTTAATGGGCAACTGTATCTTTTCTGTCAGTAACACTGCTCCATATCTCTTCCATTATGATTCTAGGTGTCCCACCCCTGGGTGTGATGGCTCTGGGCATATTACTGGAAATTACGCTTCACATCGAAGGTACGTAAAGAGAAGTTTTTGTTCTTTAAGTCAAACAACTGAAGGGTTAGAAGGGACCTCAACAGACCAATCTTCCTTCTCTCAGCATTGAAGTAGGATCGAGTGTTGTACGTAGACATATATTAGTCTTACTCATTCTCTTTATCTCCAATGAATTAACATTTCTCAGTTTCAGTGTGGCTCACTACCCAAATAGGCAGGAAGATTTTTGCTAATGTCTAGCAAAGTCTTTGTAGAAAATGAATCCAGTTTTTGTACCTTTTCTGTTAGCCCAGAGAAGCAATTCAACATTCGGAAGTTTCTGATTCTTTACATTCTGAATGACTTAACTCTTCTCCTCACAATCTTACCTTTTCTGGACTCAAATCTCATTCCTCCTTTTTTTCCTCCACAAATCATATTTCCTGATTGTTCCTGTCAATCACTTCCAGATTCTCTCTCTATTTCTTGAAATGCAAAATTGGACCCAGTTCTTTACCTCCTCTCCCAGTTGAAGTCTTACCAGCTTTAATCAAAGGGAAAAAGTACCTCTTTCATCTAATATGCACCGGTCTTGTTAGTTCATTTCAGAATAAAGTTTGGCTTGTTTTTAAATTGCAGCACATTGTACATAACTATGTAAAGCCAGAAGAATAGAAAGATAAATGGATGAAAGCTGTTACCTTAACTGCCTAAACTGTAACTGTGTTCCTTACCAAGTGCCAAAGAAAACTTCACATCTACTAATTAAGGTATTGCTGGTGGCCTCAAAATGAATTATGGTGGTACCACTGTAGAGGTATCTTACAAACGCTGTGTAATTAGCAATTCCCCTGTTACTATTTGAGAACTATAAATCAGTGGAGAGGAGCTGCACCATATTTTGTAAATAGCTATCCACTTAATCAAAAAGTAATAGTGTAGCACAGGTCTCTTTTGTTAGTAAAGGCCCTTTACTCCCATGCTTAGTAATACTGTTGAGTCTGGATATTTGCTTGCTTCACAAAGTCCCTGTAGGTTTACAATTGGCTATAACTAGTCAATACACAAATTCCCAGTTTAAACTCTTCCCAGTAAAAGCAACAAACAGTTTAAAGTCAAAACATAAATAACGTGAAGATCGGAAAGGTGTCATACCTTTACATGCTGTAAAAATGAAAGATCACAGTAGCAATTTCTGAAATGTACAGTTATACATCAAAAGTACTAATAACATCCTAAAGGAGAAGATGTAAACATTTTAAAAGCACTTACATGATGTAGGAGATTAAAACAAACTTTCAAAGGGATTTAAGGTCAAATCTATAACTACATTCAACTGTATGTGGATTTATCAGCTCACACCCCTACCAACAATATGCTTGGTGTAGCTGAGCCCCGATTTTGCTACTTCAGGAAATTGTTCATGTATTTAGCATGTATTTGACCAGCAGCAGGCAGGACAGTGAAGATGCAGAAGGCCAGGTGTTACAAACAGAAGAAACCTAAAAGCTGGAAAGATTAGCAGTGAAGAATCGCTGCATGTTGCCTCATTTTTTAAATCCTTTCCGTGGGCATTGTCTCCTGGCCACTATCCGACTGGACCATGAACTAGAGGGTGTTACATACTTTCGTCTGTAAATTCTTACATTCTTGTATTTTTGCAGATGAGTGCTGGACCAAGTTTTTGTTTGATTCTGCAGCATACTTAGCATATATAACGATATAAAAAGTAATTCCGCAAAACTAAGTGATCTGGAACTTGTCCAGTCCATTGGGATTTAACACATTCAACCTTCCGAAATGCCATCATATCTGTATCGACCACATAACTCCTGGGAGTGTGCCTTCGTTTCTCTTCTGAAGGGCCTCTGGCAGCCCCAGGTCCTCAGCTGCCTGTGGGCACGGGGGCACTGACACTGAAGGAGTCATGTCTTCTTTGCTTAAAACCACCGACGTCCCCAGGAGACCTGTTGCGTTTACACAGAGCTGGCCCCACGCTGCTCAGGTCATGGGCCACTCTCTGAGGTGGTGAGGCTGGCAGAATGCACGCTCTTTAAAAGGGCAGCAAACCAGTAGCCTGAATCTGGAACTCTTTAAGTATGAAAGACCCCACAGTACGTTCGCAGTTAAATTTTCTAATTCGCACATTGAAAATCAACATGTACCTCTGCTGGCATCTGAGTTAGCATTTTTGTTTGTATTTCATACCATCCCTTACAACCCTTTCAGTTTCAGAAGGAAAGGAATGACCAACTTCTCTCCTAAATGGCTGCCAACATGTCTCGATGTCATTTGGCTTAAAATGGCTGCTCAACAGCAAGTGCACGTGAAGGCAGATTTAACTCTGCCGTAACGCTCTGCAGTCCCACGTACCTGTTCAATATATGCAAGAAGTTATATCAGCGTATACTGGTGTTGAATTTCCCTTGTTGTCTTTTGTCTTCATATATCAGGAATTAAACTGGTATAAAAATGAAGTAATATGTTTACTTTGTAATAGCTTTTGGTTATTATAGGATAAAAAAAAAATAAAGCAAAAGCTCATCCTTGACATGTGTTTTCTTGGTGAATCTGCTGTCAGAGGAAAAATGAATTAATCATAACCTCAGAAGCTGTCTGTTGGAAATGTCTGTTTAGAGGACCTGAAAGGCCTTAGAATTTTCTAATAAATCATAGTGCCAGAATAGAAAGATCCGTTGCAAAAAGATGATGCACCAAAATACCAATAAGTAGGTGATAATTAAATTGATTTAATATGTAGAAAGCATTAAATCATTAGTCAGGGCAGAAAATCCTCTTTCAGATTTTGTTATGAAAATGTCATCATCTACAAGCATACCCATCTGTACACCTACTAAAAAAAGTATTGCTTTCTGAGGCATTTCTATTAACTATTTAGTTTTTGAATGCGAAACCTGGTAATTCTCACACTGAGTATGATTAGTCTCACAGATAAATTAGGGATATCTGTAACTCCTGTCCTCTCCTCTCGACTCTCTGCAGTCCAGATTGTATGAGGGGCAATGAACCAACCTGCTCCCAAACTGCTCCCTTGCCCCAGAGCCTGCTTCCTCTTATTCTGAGTCCTCAGACTCTGTTCCTCCTGTCTCTGTCTTCTTACAGATTGTGATATTAATTTTGAAGAAAACTGTTTTTAAGTGGCACAGACTTTCTGAAGTGTGGTTTGTGCGCAGGGAACTATGGTGCTTTGGTGTGCACTATGCAAGTGGGAATAAACAGCAGCTTGCTTGGAAAAGGGAAATGGTCAGCTGCATTTAAACTGGAAAATGAAATGGGATGAGAGCACAGGTCCAAGGGTCAGAGTGCAGATGCCTACACTATTAAATTGTTAACATGTCCCCTGGCATGGTACTCACCCTGGGCCACTGAAACTCTCCCAGGCAATTCTCAGACATGATTTGGGGCTCAGCATGGGTCCAGATCATTCTCTATAAGCAACATGGGTGTAGCTGTTCTGCTTTAGAGAGACAGAAAGCTTAGCTGTGTGGATGTGCACTTGCTGGTCTTGGGTCAAGACAGCAGTTCTAGGTCACTTCTGTTTACCACTATAGATGTAAACATGCCATCTCACTAAAAGTTGCTAAGTAACACACTGTCTAATATCTTGTACTAACATTCCACCCTTTCTTTAATTGACTTATTTATGACTTAACAGCATATAAACTCTATTTTTGTCTGTTTTTCATTTACCAACACGGAATCGTGTTTGTGATTGCATTACCTTTTGCTCTGCATGTTCCTCCCAGTCCTCACTGGTCTTGAATAGACAAAATAACTGAAATTTTTGCTACTGCTGTTTCTGTCTCTTCTTCCTGAAGACAGGACCTGCTATACAACACTGAAGTACCTTTTGTGATGCTGAAAACAAAAATTTAGTCTTCTATTTAGTTTCTTTCTCTGAGGAAATTTTTCTTTGATAACACTACTTTGCCTCTCATCTCAATATCTTCGGACGTGGTGTTCTACTGATGGGTTTCTTTTTTAATGTTGGTATGTTAAGATCGAAATAACACTTTTAAATAGAGGATGAAGCGTGATTTCTTGATAGACATATTTGTGTCCTTGGATAGCAACTACTTAAAAAAATCTCTAAATATGTATTAAAGTCATTGTCAAGCCTACTAAATGGCTTCTATAATGAAGTCTTCATATGCAAAGAGAAAGCTGAGGTTATAAAATCTTGGACTAGATATGTCTTTTTCCATCTCCTGTACTTAAAAACAACATTCTCAATGTCTAATTAAATGTAACATTGCTCACCCTAACATATAACTTTGTATCTACCAAATCTTTTTGTCTGGGTGAGTTCCAAGCACTTGAACTCTTTCTCAGGAAGGTGTTGTACAGCTCTGAGCTCTGCTGGGTTTTTATTCAACAGTTCTATAGGATTCTTACATGATGATTGAGAAGGTTTGATTGTGTTTCTGATGCGCTCCCTGGAGAAATCTTTAGTCCTACCAACAGATCCCAAGACTCACATTTTTTGAGCCTATTCTTCCTTCCCTCTCAGACATACAGAGGACGTAATGTCTCTCAGCCCTGAAACACTGCCTTCTATTCCTTTTAAAGCTGTTGCTGCTGCTGCTGAGTCAGCTGGAGGGATTATTAGGCAGAGAGTTTAAGAGCTGCTTTCCCTGGCTCCTCGAGGACTGCCTGTGCGTGTGGTCTGCACGATGCCTGCAGTCCTGTCCTGCATCACACATGGAGACACGCGGATTCCCCCTTGTGGTTGCGTGCTGCAGCTTTCCTTATTTATACCACTTGAGCTTTCTTTGATTTTGGAAAACTGGATGCATTTACCTATTCTGACGGTTTTTCAGACAGAAAGCGTATCCCTTGTAAACTGTACCCAAGAACGAGAAATTACATTTTAAAATGTTTTCTTTCACTCAGTCTTTCAGGCTGTCCGCGAGCAAAGAAAAGTGGAATCAGGATAGCACAAAGCAAGGAAGACAAAGAAGACCAAGAGCCAATTAGGTGAGAACAAATATTGTCAAAGGGCCTTCATGTGTTTTATAAGGTCATACATATCTTCAGCTTTTTATTAAGGCATAAATGTTATTGTGTGATAGTTATCTGAGAGCAGATGGCCATGTTGATTTCTATGAGTGAACTGCAAATCAAGGATCTATGTTGATTTATCCTAGCCAAGGATACAATCTCCTAAAATTTAGAAACAGTTAAAAATATGTTTTTCACATGAAATTAAAAAATTATGTAGATCTTTATCTCCTAAAAAAACCCTTAAACATGTTTGCGTACTACAGACAAACCATACATGCTAAATACAGTAGTTATGGGAATAGAGAAGTGAGTATTTATATGAGATTGCTGCCACAAATCTGGCTGTTTATGCGGTTTGCAAGAGGAACAAATGCCTACCTGTAGGTCTTGGTTTCTTCTTGCAAGGTGCTCTGACACCACTGGTCACTGAACTCAGCAGGTTTAGTGACTGCTTAGACCGCTCAGGACTGGATCCTTGGTGGAGAATGGCAGCAATATTTTAGTGTAGGACAAGCAGTGAAGTAACCGGCCTTGTTTTGACATGTGTTACATAGCAGCATACTAAAAAAACATCATTTTCTTGTAACGTTTCACTTTGAAGATTCTAACCTGTTCCTTCTAACCCTGGTTATTTGTTTTTTAAAAGTATACAGGGCAAATGTATGGGGTAATTCCCAAGTAAGGAAAAACACCACATGAATACGGGACCGGCTTCACTGATCTCTCTAGGCTGTAGTGCATAGTTTGTTGTAAACTCTCCTGTTCAGAGAGTGGTTAAAGGTGCTCAGCATTTCTGATGAGGCGCTATGATCATTTTATACGTAACTGTTTATGCCTAACATTTTCATGACTTCAGACAAGTCTTCCTTAGATTCCATACACATAAATAAAATGTACCGAGGATTATACTAAGTAGAATTTTATGCCTACAGAGTTTTTATGGGCAATTTCCCTGCTGAGCGGAGCTCAGTAGCCAACATTTCAATTCCAGTGTGATATTTACCGTAATGAACACCTGCAAATCAAATACGTATCTCAGTCCTTTTGTTGCAATCACACAAAATAAACAGCTGTGACTTCATCTACTGGCTAGCCTCCTTACAGTTTATCAAAGAATGTATTTTTTTATATTAGTAAAATTCTGCTTGTAGTTTTACCCACTACAAGGTATCTTGACTATTTTTTAAGACCACAGTGCATGATTGTTCTTTTCTTTTCATGTCGGGTTTATTTTGACTTTGTTGTAGAGGCTACCAGGTATATGATGGCAAGACAATAAAGTTTATCTCATCTATCTGCTATCCAGATGTCCAGTTCCTGGTTGTGATGGTCAGGGACATATAACTGGAAAATATGCATCCCATCGCAGTGCGTCAGGGTGTCCTCTAGCTGCCAAAAGGCAAAAGGATGGGTACCTAAATGGCTCACAGTTCTCTTGGAAGTCCGTGAAGACGGAAGGAATGTCATGTCCAACCCCAGGATGTGATGGCTCAGGACATGTCAGTGGTAGTTTTCTTACTCATCGTAGGTGAGTAACTATGGCTTATATTTTTCACTTGCGCTTATTATTTAAGTTAGATTAGCAAGATTTAAAATACAGCTTTTTGTAATGGCATTTCTCTGTTCCTTTTGAATTTCATGATTACTTTGAAAAATAATCTTCCTACATATATTTGTAGATAACTGGAAATCAAGACACACGATTTTTTTCATGCAAGTCTTTGCAGTTAGAGACCTGAGTCTGAATCTATAATACACACAAAATAGTAGGGGAAAAAGTGTGCATGACAGTAACCGTAGATCTGCTACTGCTCTGTCGAGTGACTCTGGACGTACTACCTTAGGGTAGACTTTGTAATACACATCTGAATCTCCCTCATTTCCAGAGATGTCAAACACATTGTTGGTTCCTAAACATCAGAGCATGGAACTAAAGAGTTTAAGGAATCAGTTCCATAAAAACAAAGTACTTTCATTCTTTTGGTAATGAAAATGTACGCTTGAACAGTAAACGTAGAATACAGCACATTAGTTAAAACTAATGGAATACAAATATTTGACAAAAGAGATACTAAGCTCAATTTTTCATAAACTTAGCAGAAGTAAGAGAACTTCAGTGAGGACATTTTTCATTGCTTTTAAGAGATTAAGAAACAGAAAGTGGGCAGTCTATTAGGAATAAATCTTCTTGCCATTTTAGATATCAGCTTATGAGGAAGCAAGGGTGTTTTTGGAGCTTTGGGTGGGAATCTCAGCCTGAACATGACTATAATGCCAGAGCAAATTTCTTATTATATAATCACTAATATAAAACTCTATTACTTGAAATATGTCAAGCCGATGTGCCTAATTTGTCACCCTTCTCCAGGCAGACCTCAGTTGAACTTCTGTACCTTTTAGTTAACTAAACCAACCTGATCTTGTTTTGTAGTCAGTTCTAGATATAGGGGTGAAAAGTGTACTTCTTCTTCCTTATCTTGCCTGTAACTATTTCCTTGGATTCTTTTTTTGACAGTCCTTTAAGGCTTAACTCAAAAGCCTTACCGTGACTGCAACCTGTCCAGACTTTGTACACATAGTTCCCATTTAGGTTCAGAGCTGATTTTTTCTGCTCAGTGTTTGTATGGTACTTACCATGAAGGGATTCTGGTCCACGACCAGAGGTGCTACCTAGGTGGTCAAACATATTACACAGCCTGCAGCTCTCGTAGGCTTTAGGGAGCTGTAGATGCAAAAGCCCCGACCATTTGTGCAGATGTCCACATGTGGGTTTAAGTTTCTGACTTTCAGTAAAATATCGGTATTAGTGTTCATATTTCAGTTTAGCTTTCTTTGTAATGGTGTGACATTTATTTAACTCACAGAGATCAGTCATTAAAAATTTGGAATTATTTTACCTTTAGTTGAAAGGTACAATGTAATTACTGAGAAATTGCTTTCAAGGAGTATTTACATAGTATTTACATCTTCAAGGAGAAGGTTCTTGCAACAAGGATAACTAACTTCTAAAAGGAACATACTGATACTAATCTAACTGTTCTTCAAAATTAAGAGGCAAATGGTACCTAGAGGTTTGGTTTGTTTTATTTTTTAATAGGAATGTTTTCATTAAAAACATAGAATAAAATTTAAATTCTTTTTTTTTTTCCAATGGAGAAACCTAAATATGACATTCAGCCACACAGCAGCCATGTGCTTTCTTGAGTACCATTATCTTAAGTAGAAACTGAGCCATGTAAAAGGCTTACCTTATAACACCAATTTTTGAGCAAAACAGTCCATTGTTAGAGGAGAGCACCAGAAGATGAAAGGTTGCTTAAAAAGACTGACTGAAGTAGACTGTTGTTAATTGTTTTGATGTAACAAAGCACCAATATTCTAAGTTGTTGTGAGCAAGTTTAACAATTTCTTCAAGCTTTCATAAGCTATGACAATATTAATAAAAACATATTATTTAAGAAATATTATTAATTCTTGTAGAATTCTTAAGATGCTGTAAAAGGGCTTAGTTCACTTGCTCACACAAAGAAAAGCACTTGAAGCCGTTTTAGATGCCTTAGTATAATTTACACGGCCTCCAGCTGTTGCACAGAAAGGCACACATCTGTGGTCGATCCAGTGTCATATTTACCAGCCATAATGATATGTCTTCTCAAATGGCATTTCATGCCTGTGTATGGACAACTGAATCAAACTCTGCACATAGGATTGAGCTTCAGAACAATTCACCTACTTTGAGAATGTACTTATAGGTGAACAAAGTGCTTTTTCTCCTCTTCCAGTGAATGAAGTCAATGGATCCTGGAGAGTTGTTTGCTTCACCTGTGAAGTAGACATCTGCCTGTGATCAGACTTGTACCCTAAATGTTACTGAGTGCATCAATGGGGAATGGGATTCCCCTGCAAACAGATAGACACTTTATGTCGTTGGAAGTGTTGATGAGGCATACAAGATGGCCGTACTGGGCTGGCAAAAATGACTGAAGATTTGTGAGACACTCCCATTCTTTGATTGTGACAGCTGAAAACTGAACATGCTTTGCAGGGGATCTGGAAGGGTGATAGACTTGGGCCCCAAATGAATGGGCCCCAGAGCTCCATGGCAGCTTTGACACATAGTTCCCATGCAGAAATTTAAACCTAGCTGTTCCAATCTGGAGTTCAGACTCACCTAAATTACAGACTGTACATTTCCTTACCTAAAGATGGAATATCCCCTCACTTTTAGTGTATCCTTTTTAATAGGCTGTGGTCTCATCTTCTACCTCTAACAACATTTTGCTATACAGCCATGGCTGTAAATCTCAAGCTCCACCTTCTGAAGAGAAGCAATGTTATGACAATTACACACTGAAACCAGGTTTATGTACAGCCTTTTGCAGGTACAGCTGTGTCCAGCATGCGTGGGGAGAAAGCAGAGCTATGACCATTAACTGAGTCAGTGAAAGGTCCTAGGGGAGCAGTAGTTAAAAGTCTTCAATTCTGGCAGTACATCGTGCTTCTCTCCTGATAGTCACTTTTCTTCCTTACTACAACTATTTTTCTATCAGCAGACCTCTCTAAGCATCTATGTTAATGGGATATGTAGCGTCCTTAATGTGTTATTTGGGATTTTATATTCTGCCATTCATAGACAGCTGTTAATGTGCTATTATCCAAGCAGCTGTAATACTCTGGAAACTGAATGGCAGACTGGCTTGTGAAAATGATGCCAATTGTTGTATTAATTAAAAATACATACAGAGAGAGAGAGAGGGTTTTGAGGCAAAGATTTCTTAGAGCTGTTGTTGCACCTTGTATGCATGGTGTAATTCCGCTGATATCAATGGACCCTTGAGATGATCCACAAGTGCTGGTAAATCAGTACTTAGTTAAAAACCCGCTCCAACTGGTATTACGTAGTCTGGAATTTAAATATATGCATATTTGTACATACATGCTTCTCAAGTAGAAATAAGTAGTCAGTTGAAAAAGTCACAAATTTCAGTAAGTTTTGAATTCTACCCTGTGAACAAAGGCACCAAAAAGGGTTTCTGTTTATTTAACGTCAGCCATGCCTGTCTGCAGAATTTGTATGAATAGTTTTATTTTATAAAGGAGTTTTGCATAGGAAAGAATGGCAACAGAGGGTTATCAGAAGGGAGTTGAAGCATAGGATTAAGAGTTCTATACTTCAAAAAGGAGCCTGTGCTAGCAGGGAGGCCAGTGTGAAATTAGGTGACCTATCAGCAATATGAAAATGAGTTGGAAGGCATGTAAGCATGGAGTCAGTAGATAGCTAAATGAAATAGGTTATAATGAAATGTAAATTGGTTATTATACTGTAGCTTTCCAGTTCAGTTCTTGAACAGGCCTTTACATCCTCATGTTTGATTTAAGAAGATTTTTCTGGACGGCATCGTTTCTAATACAATGATCATTTGTGGACTTTCTCAGAATATACTTGGATTTAGCAGCCCTGCTCCTTAGCACAGAAGCGGAAATGTGCTTGTGCAGACTTCAGTGGAAATTATATTCAGAAATGCCTTTTCAGATCTAAAACAATGTTCTCACTCCCATCTGCTGCCCACTTGTGTTTAAATCAGTGTTCAAACACAGTAGCTGTTAAATTCCCTTGACTATGAAAAACTGTTGTGGTTTAACCCTGGTAGGCAGCTCAGCCCCA